GTGATTTTATCGTTTGACAATAATAAAAATATAGCCTAAAATAATGATGTGTTTAAAACTAGAAAATAAAAAATTGTCTATGTAGTATGTTTCCATGTGCATCTTGGAAGTGAAAGCGAAGTGAACGTTTATTGTACGAGAATTAATCTTTCTAATTCTGTTGATCATAAAAATCTTTTAACTAATGTCGCTAGCTTGGCGAGTAATTGACTAAAAAATAAAACTAGCTTTTATTAGTTCCGATTGGCGAACTGGTCTGAAAGACGACGTGAGTGAAGTGCCGGGCTAGCATGCCATGCTTTTGCCCCACGGGACGCCACGTGTTTAATCATCTCTCAGTCAAAGGCTGACGCTAACAAATAAGCTTGACAAGTGGATCAATATGAAAGGTGTAAAGGCGTTTCCTATGGGTATAAGCTCACAAACTGGCTTCATTTGTTCGAGTTTGGCAAACAAAGTTGAACACTTTGAAATTCAATGGAATCACGTGATTTCTCAGCCAAGATCGGCTTTCTGAAGTAATGGGCTATGAGCGGGAATCAAACCACGTTTTTGCTGAACAGACGAATATCTTCTTCTTCTTCTTCCTTCAGCTTGCTCTTTATAGAGACGTATGAAATTTTCCAAAATTACTTTCCGATGCTATTCAAAAAGGTTTGTAAGAAATAATAAGCTTTTTACTGGTGTAGGTTGACAAAGTATGTTAGACATGGCTTGATCACTCTAAACCTGTAAGGCTTAGCAGTTTATTTAAGCAAAGCTAACTGTATAACAGTGTTATATACATATAAGGGTTTCTAAAGCATGATCTCCTCTTGCGAGTAAACTGTGAAGTTATACACGTTGTAGTGGAAAACTGAACAGCTGAATCTCTGATAAAAGCTAGAATTTCAGGCTAAGCAACGTTTTCTTTGTCCAGAAATAACGGTGTCGACTGTTTTCGTTGCTTTTACATATACAAAAAATAGGAATATCTTCATATAAATCCACCCCCCGCAGTGGCTCAGCGGTAACTCTGAAAGTTTATAACGCTAGCAACTGGGTTTAGATACCCACGGTGGGTACATCATCGGTAGTCATTTGCGTAGCTTTGCGTTTAACAACAGAAATAAACTTTCGTAATGAATATTAAAACACAATTCATTTATCCATTTTGAAGTTTGTTTTATGATAATTTAAACTTTGTATTACTTAGAAAATGTGCTCAGTGTTTTGTTTGTTTGTTGTTAAGCACAAAACTACACAATAAGTTATCTGTGATTTGCCCTCCGCGGGTATTGAAACCTGATTTGTTAGCATTACAAACCATCAGACTTACCGCTGAGCCACCGAGGAGCACATTGATAGGTAAAAGTAATTATAGGACTGTATACATTATAAAATAAAAATAAATCATTTTGAAGATTGAAACTAATCTTACGACAGTAGAAAGCATTACAATTAACCGGGAGCTATGAATATGTATGTATATACTTACCTTCAAAAATCGACAAAATATTTTTTATAATTTCAAACAAAACCATAGCAGTAAATAGATGTGAACGCTATTGTTGTGGCTAAACACTATTGTTGTCGCTTAGAATAATTTGTTATAGTAGCAACAGCTCTAAAGACTTCATTGTGGGTTGTTGAAAATAAAGGAACACAATCTACACCTCGTGTTAAGCCTAAGTACAGACTTTTATCTCTGATGAAGCGAAACCGTGACTTAAGTCCAATAAACTGTTCTTTTGTTTAAAGCGATAGGTCAGGATTTTCTCTAAGCTATTTTCAGAATTTTCTTAATATAGATATATTTTTATTATGGCGGTCGCTAACCGTATTACTGTGTTTTATTGAAATTGCGTCTATTTCTGACTTATAATGAAACCAACTAGGAAAAAATAAATAAAACTTGGTACTGGTTTAGAACGTCATCTATGGAAGATTTAATGTGATAAATCAAGCAGTCAAATATCAAGCTATTGAATCTCATACTTAGCAAGTCTATCTACAAACAACTAGTGACCTCTACCGGTCTCTGCGGATACGAGAAACGAAATGATTCAAATTCGTAACGATCGGAGATAATTTCAAAGCCAGAAACATTCAACTATCAGAAGCAATTTACAGAAATTAAAACAAGACAAACTGGTCCTATTCTTTAATTTCTTTATTGGTTTAACGACAAAACAACTCCTCAAATAAACTCAGATTCTATAATATAAATTTCACACAGGTCTGATATAAATTTCACACAGAGTTAAGCGGTTATGTAATCGGTTGAGTCGAACATATTTCTTTATCATGCGAGTATTAAAAATATCAAATAGAAACCACGCCTGCTAAAACATATTTTAAAATCAGTGAAAAACTAAATAAACAAATTAAACTTTCAAAATAGTATAAACAATTAAAACTACACTAACATTCAGAACGAATGTTTCTGTCGTGTTTCAAAGTTTAGGAAATCAGGCACATCAGTTACCATTTAGGACACACTACATTAAATCAGTCCAAACTACTCGGTGCGTGCTGAGCAAACATCATTATATCAATTTGTATGGATAGTGGAACAGTTTTGGCGTGTAGGACTTGTGATGTCTTATCCATACATTTACTACAAAAGGGATTTTATAGATCATCCCGAGAGAAATTAGTGTCACGTGGATTCCTCACGCCCTCTGTGGATCATTAACAAACACTTCATCGAGTGAAGTGGGCAGGTGGCGTGCGAGCCACAGGGTGTCTTCCATACCATCTCTATCCCCCCCCCCCACACTTTTATGTGTATATCCATTTGCTTCAAACGGTCTTTATTTTTTTCTGTCCAATTTTCATTATCACATTTTGTCAACCTCTTTTTTTATTGCATCTTACAAATCTACATTTCTCTCTTTCATCCCGGAACCCTTTGTTTTACTCTTTTAATAAGTCTCTTATTATTTCCCTTTGCCTCACGCTATCCTTCTATCTCTCTGTTGTTGATTTATATTAATTTCTTACAGCTTATTTTTTAATCTACTTTCTTCTCAGCGTTTTGGTTTCATCATCCAATTCTATTTATAACAACCATTTCTATCTCTCTCAATTCCAAATGCATCCCATGACCACATATTACCATCTTTCAATTGATCTTTATTTGATTCACTATGATACAATATCTTGTTTCTTTATTCTCTCTCTAACTTGAAAACCTTATATTATTTATTTCTCTCCTTCTTGTCGCTAATATTAACTTTATTTTCCTCTCTCAACTTTTTATTTAATTTTGCTTCTTATACTTTTTTATTTACCTTCACTTTTTATATATTTTCAATATTTTTCCATTTTTGCCCATCTTATTAGCCGACACTTTGCTTTCTTTTGTTGTCAATATCTCTTCACTTGATTACTACTCTTCTTCTCAAAATACCATTCTTTTTCGCTCGTTTTTTTCTATGTGTTTATTTTTAATCCGTGTGTTTTATATCAGTTTTCATGACTGTTTTTGTATCTTAGATCCCGAAGTAGACAATGTGGAATAATAAAATAAGTTTGTGTGAATAACATACTGTTTTGGAAATGTACAGAAGACAAACATTGTTTGGAGAGTATATGGAGTATGGAAAAAGAACATGAAGATTACTGATAATTCTGACAGTAACAACTGTAATCAAGGGTTAAGTAGTCGTTATATCTTCAGAAATACTGAAGGCAAAAATGCTTGAACGAAACATAACCACAACTATAAATGACCACATGAAGTTGCATGCATAGATTCATGGTAAACTCTGTCTTTTGTTTTCTTATTGGTTTTTCAAGTGTAGATTTAAGTAAAACAAATTTTTGAAAACTGCTAGTTAGCCTGAGCTCGGTGGTCAAAATATTTTACTTAAGACGTTCTGAAAGGCTAAATAATAAACACAAAGTTAACTGAAGAAGGAGCCAGCCGTCAAATATGTACCCACCCATTCTTAATTTTTGCATTTTCAGTCTAGAAAAAACTTTCATTTGTTTTTGTGGACACATAAATGAGACACTGATTACATCACTCAGAGTCACTAAGGTTGTTTTCTTGTATAATGATTCTTGTTTTTTTCCTAACTACTACCAAAATAAAATCTAAGTTTTTTAAGTACCATGGAAATGTTCTTTTCACCTATGAACTTTAGGTTTACCTCAGAATACAGACTCTATCGTCATCTTTATTTATTTACCATTAAAAATTACTTTGTTTTGTTAAAACACACGTTTATAAACGGTCAGAGCATGAAAACTGTGTCTTTTCAACTGTCAAACCATCACAATCTTAATCAGAATATTTCACCTTCTCTGTTGTGCCAGATAGTAGGTCATGATATACAAGTTTTATTTAGAAATAAAACACGCCTAAGCGGTAATAATGCGACAGACAAAGTAAGATTTTTAAAATAAATAAAACTAAAACATAGAAAAGAGTAAAAGAGAAAACATTTCAGTTCTTGTACGTCTATTGAGTGTTTTATCACCAATATAAGTTTTATTCTTTTGAGTTTAACATTAAGCACGTAAATTGTTTTATATTAATTTTGGATTTTCTGCCTACTTAGTGTCGCCACCTAGTGAGTAGAAAGTGTACCATGAAATCAGTTTCAGGTTCTAAAATCATTAAAAACATAAGTTTTTTTATTCTTGACGTTTTCTTTCCAAAAAATAACACGTATTCATAGTTCGTATTTAATACGATTGTTAACACACAACTTACTTCTAAAACGTGATTAAAGTTTTAACGAACAAGAGAAGTTTTAGGACAAAGAGATTTTTCTACTGATGTGAATATTTTCGTTTTGTTGATATCGTAAAACTAGACTACTGTTTAGCAGAAACTCCCTAACTAATAACACATCCACCACTTGCGTTGTTGGAAAACAATATATAAAAATATTTTTTATAATACTTTTAATTTATTTTAAGCATATGCTGTGGCGCCCTCTTCCAGCGAATGATGAAATCAATTCTTATTAAGAGAGTTACTATTGGTTGCTTGTTTTTCATTGGATTTCTCTGAAAAGGTAGCAGTAGCAGCAGATCGATTGAAGAATGGGAAGGTGAGATGTGGGTAGGTTCGGAAAGAACTGCATGTCCGGAAAACAAAGAAAGTCTGTTCTTGAGGTGCTGCCAGTAACCTCCCTGGTCGCCTCAACGTAAATATTGCAATAAAACTTGCGTATACATTGTCTGAGCTCTAAGCGGGTTTGCTGGTCTTTCCAGAGTGCAGGAATTTAGGAACAAGGAAAGGCGGACGAAAAGGTGAGTTTACCATATTATTAGGTGCAATGCAGTACTGAGAAAGAGTTTAGTCATTTAAAAAAATTGATTTAGTTTGGATCTTCCTTGATTCTCACATGTTTCTCTTATTTTTAGTAATATATGTACAACTTTGGAACACCCTTCTTTCTCTCTGTGTGTATATTATTTCTCTTATTTTCCGATAAACCTATGTTTCTAATATGTTTCTTTATCAATACACGTTTGAAATATTTCTTTTTCACTCACATTTCTCTTTCGTGCTCTTTACTAACACTCTCTATCTCCACCAAAGGCTACAGTGGTAAATCTGAAGGCTTATAACACTAAAAATTGGGTTTCGATACCCGTGGTGGGCACAACACAGATAGCCCATTGTGTAGCTTTGTGCTTGACATCAGAGTCTCTCTATACATACATTTTCTGTCTTTCATTTCTGATAAGCCTATGTTTCTACTAAACTTTTTATAAACACAGGCAAGCATGAAATATTTATTTATAATTTTAACTCACATTTCATTTTCCTCTCAATTTTTTCGTTCTGTCCTGTTTTAGTTTTAGTTTATCCTGTATATTTGTCTATTTTGAAAATACTGTTGTGAACTTCACAAAGAAAAAGGTAAAATATCAGGGGTAAATTAAGTTAGCTAATTAATATTACGCTGGGTTTACATTGTACATGATATTGTGGTCTTTACGTATATTGGAAGACCCTAAGTATAAACACTAACATTTGTAGCGAAGGAACTGCTTAACTTTCTAAAAACTTTGAGTTTGTGTTCATGCACAAAATGAAAAATTGAGGAATGATGAAATCAGTGTATAATATATGAAGATTATGTAGCCAATCTAAGAATTAAAAAAAAGACCTATCATACCGCGGAAATAATAAAACAGTAAATATTCACCGTCAGTGATCCTTGAAAGAAAAAATTAGTTCGAAACTGAATTCATAAATTATCAAGAACTTAATGAGAACGGAAACTAACGTGTTAGATCTTCAGTGGGAAAAAAAAACAAAAAACAACAACAAATGAGTGGGTATTGAAAACTTAAGAAATAAAGCACGTGAACTTAAAATCAAAACTCACGCGCCTGAAAAACAAAGAAAATGGAGGTAATTATTTCTAAATATATATATATGGAAGGGCTGACTAATTGATTGTTTATAGTTAAGCACAAAGCTACACAGTAGGATACCCGTGCTATGCCTACTACAGGTATCGAAACCCAATTTTTAACGTTATTAACCCACAGACTTATCGCTGATCCACTGGGAGGCTACATTGTATTATGCTTTTTATTTGTAGTTAAGCACAAAGCTACACAATGGGATCTCTGTGCTGTGCCTACCACGGGTATCGAAACCCAATTTTTAACGTTATTAACCCACAGACTTATCGCTGATCCACGGGGAAGCTACATTGTGATATGCTTTTATTTGTAGTTAAGCACAAAGCTACACAATGGGCTCTCTGTGCCGTGCCTACCACGGGTATCGAAACCCAATTTTTAACGTTATTAACCCACAGACTTATCGCTGATCCACTGGGAGTCTACATTGTATTATGCTTTTTATTTGTAGTTAAGCATAAAGCTACACAATGGGCTCTCTGTGCCGTGCCTACTACGGGTATCGAAACCCAATTTTTAACGCTAGAAACCTTCAATGACTTAACACTGAGCCACTAGGGGGCTACACGGAAAGGTAAAGATAATCAACGGTTACGAAGGAAGAATCATTTGAAAGATCAATTGCTGACTCACATCTGACTAATTAAGATGTCGAATTCTCTGTAGTCCAAACTGTCCCTATCCAGATCTATAAAAATACAATAAGAAGACAAACGAACTCGATATATCATTAAACACTAAGAAATCATGTCGTAGAAATAATTTTCTCTATTTCTTTTTTATTGTATTCTACTTTCTTATCTTCTAATTATTTCGACTTCTTTCCCAATCCACGTGTTTTTCTTTTCTTTCGTCTCTCTCTTTTCATTTCAAAACTCCTCCCTCAATTATTTTCTCTTTTTTCTCTCTAAATCTATATATTTGCGATCTTTTTCTTTCAGCTTCAATGCTTTCATCCCTATGGTTAACGCATGACAATTTCTCAAGCTCCCTATCAGTAAAAATGTTTTTCCTGACGTAGCTTTTTCTGAAAGCTGCTTTTGTCATAAGCCTTATCTAAGCTCTTAAAGAAACTCGAGTGAACTATAATATCATCTTAATAGGCAACGAGACACTCGACTGGTTAGATGCTATTAATTGTGCATGTCTTCTAATGCACATCTCCGGCCATCTAACTACTGACCGCTACACATTCTTTCACATCAGTAAACTGTTAAATTAGTTTGAAAAACACTCATTGTAATTATTTTTATCTTAAACCTTAGATGAATTATTTGTCTTAAACACTTACTCTTTGGTTGCAAAGTTAAAAAAAACAAGAAATAAAGAATCTCTACTACTACGCTGTTACTTATGGTTGTAGGGTTGTTTCTTAACAAAACCACGTTGGGCTATCCGTTGTGTGCAGCGCGGGGAATCGAACCCAGGATTTTAGTGTTGTAAGTCCGTAGATTGACCGCTGTCTCATCGGTGGACGGGTTGTAAGAAAGCTATCTTATCGACTGAAAACCTGTTATTTTTGTATTTTTGTTTGTTTTACAATTGAAAGTGTAGTTTAATTTTCACTGAAGCAATCGATCAAGGCCTTACAGGAGTTTTCGAAAATAAAGGTTAGATTATGTTAAAGTAAAAAAGGCAAGATATCAATGTAAACTAATTAGCTTGTAATATATTATGCACCAAACTCCTATCGGGTATTACGTGCAGTAGATATCATATACAAAGTACTTTTTTCTGTTCACAGATTAGACGACGCAAAGCAAAAAAGTTGAAGCGTCTCAAAACAGTGTGCTACGTTTCATTCTTCTTTGGATGATATTGGAGATTTGTCGATATTGTAGTAGAAGCTTGTCCACGTAGCCTATTTCGAAACGGAAAATCATAAAAATATCTTTCAGACTCAAGAACGAATTATTGACAATTAACTCTGTGAACGAGGATATTATGAGACTTGAGTCACTAGAGGGCAAGGAGATCACATTAAATAAGGCGAAAAGGGTGAATTCTGGGAAACTAAGTGATTTGTGCACAGCAGGGGCGTCGAGAGCCAGCCTATGCCCCAGGGTCAGTAATATCTTTGCCCCCCCTTCATTATATTTATTAAATTTTGCTGATTTTTCATAAAAGAAATTTAGGTGACAAATTTCTTCATGAATCCACGAAAAAGCAGTAGCCATTTTAGCTCATTAATTAAGTAGTATGCATTTCTAGTGAGCTTTAGAATATCACATAGCCGGTCCTCTCAACAAACCCCTTGTCCCCTCCCTCTCGTCAGCCCTGGTGCACAGTATTTCAAGTTGAATGTAAATTCGATGACGAGGAACCCACTTTGAGACTAATAATGCTTGGAGACAGCTTGAATGGGTAATGAAGAAAAACTTTAATATAAGTTTAACATAACAGCAAATGTACAACGTTTCGACAAGGTTTTGGTAACTGATAATGACAAAACATTTTCGTAACGTTGTACATTTGCTGTTATGTTAAACTTATATTAAAGTTTTTCTTCATTACCCATTCAAGCTGTCTCCAAGCATTATTAGTCTCAAAGTGGGTTCCTCGTCATCGAATTTACATTCAACTTGAAATACT